GCTTGTAAAGGCAGGCGTCCCAATACTTTTGGCAATATAGTGTATATGATTGAAGTGATATACACTAAAACCACATGTGGCTTATCCTATACAGGGTAGCCCTATACATCTGGTGAGTGCGGTTCCTTGAATTAACAGCACGGTGGTGTGGAGTGGCACGGTGATTTGTGAACATAGAAGACAGAAGTCACTGTTTTTTATATGTTATTGGATATATAAGTTTGAACACAAAAGGATCACTACACGTATATATGCAATTAGAATTTGTTGGAATCTTTTGAAGTTGGACTGTTAGAGGTTCAAATTGACACTAGTGTATTATTTTGATGTTATTGGTATAATTTTGAGTTTTCACTTATGTGCATGTACGTAAGTATTTTTAGCACAGTACAAGTATATCAAGGTACAGTACATAAACCTGTCTTGTTTGTGAAACCATCACATAAGAATATCTATATTTTGAAGCAAATGTTGTCATACATTCAATTAAAATGACAGCCTACTCAGTATCCACTTGTGATTTCTGAAATGCAGGCTACCCCATGACCATCACAAATATAAAACACCCATTTCAGGACTTCTCTTTGGCCATGTCCACTGTCAGCTTTCTTTCCAATATAACAATAATCTTATGCTTCCATGAATATGTACACATTAGTTACTTAGATGGGCAGAAGTTACCACAGTGCAGTACCAAAATGAAACTACATCCCTCTATTGTCTTATGTTGAGGAAATGCTGCCAACATAAGTGCTTACTCATACTGTAGATAGCCTTCCCTATATATCTTAGTTTGCCGGAAGAACATCATACATAGCATATCATTTACTATAGATACTTTTAGGCCCAGGTTCTATAACTAGAAATTATTGAAGCAGAACAATCATAGCTTTAGTATCCTATTGAATCTATTTGTGGGAACATGGTCAGAGGAGGAATCAGTGGTAGGTGGGAACAAAGCGATTGTAATAGAAGACTCAGCAATATGGAGGAACACAAGGTGATCAATGGAGAGGTCAGAGCTATTTGGGAATAGAACAGGGAGGGGTAGAGTGGAACAATTGAAAACGTGGAGAACTAGGGTGGTGAGCTGTGGAGAGGTATATGGGATTGGCAATGAAAGAGTTGTGAAGATCTACAAGGTAGGTAGAAACAGAAAAGGGGCAATAGAGGGAATAGAGGTAGGTAATAACAGGAGATAATGGAATGGATTCCATGTAAACATAGGCCAGACTACACTTGCTCAGACTTCTTTTCATATTCCACTGAGATGGTCTTAACTAAAATATGTTAGCTCAAACCTTTATATAGCATTCTAGTGTTCTGCTGAATTGTTCAAAATACATCCACCCAAGTGACACACAAAGGAAGAAGAAGGTTTTCCAGACCAAGCTCAGATAATGTTTGGAGTAGCACTTCAATAAACCACCCAAATCAAATTTTGTTTAGCATATTTAACTGTAGTACATAGCTGCCCCTATATTTCATTTGATATAAAACACAGATGAACCAAACTGATTATATAGCATTCCAAGCCTCAAGCTTCTGCCAGGTAGGTTGTTTTGTAAGTGCATTAGAAGAATGAGGGATGTACAAGTTAAATGGGGGCAGTGTTGGCAGCATGATTCCTACAAGTTATTATGCTAAACCAGGATTAACCTAGTCGAAGAGTGGCAAATCATTAGGTTGAAATGACATCTGTGTGTTTACCTGGGACGCACACAATCCTAGAATTGTTTTGGGAATTGTAAGAAGAAAGTGCAGAGATTGTATTTTTTTTTGTTGCCACAAAAGATAATGGTAAATGAAATTGAAAAAGAAAATACACATCGTTTCATCTGCAAGCTTTGGCTGTGGCTCAGCTGTTAGGAGCCTGCAGGTAATAACAGATCCATGAGTTGCAAATACAACTCTTGCTGTCTGCACAAGCCATCTCTTATAATCATGGGTGATATAATCTAAGCAAAATTCAGCCAGACATTTCCTAAAGCACGCTGGTGGATGTTATTTATTGATACAGGCTACATCCGGTGAGAGAGCTTTAATCCACTTTTAGGATTACACAGTTACATCTACGAAATGAGACTAATGTAACATATGCAATGTTCTTAATGATATCTTCAAAATAGATCAGCAATGATTCCTGGCCTTTTTTATGGGGTTTTATGGCTGCTATGAGCTGTGTGATTTGCTATTTCTATAAGCAGCATTCAACGACAGCAACTTGCTATATTTCTGACATATAACATCTATTAATAAACTGTCAAATACTGGTTATACTTTGGGATTTTCATGAGGCAGAGCGGAAGATAAATGATTGCATGGGCTTGGAAATATCCTTGCTATGATTGGACCATTTCTGTAAGACTATATTCTGGCCTAGCAAGCATGCAGAAGTATTCCAAGTACAGCTCCCTGGCTTCTCCCTGTGGGAAGAGTTTTAAATTGAAATGACCCCTATGAACATGGCAAGAAGGTTCACATGAATAAACGCACATGTGATCAAAGCATCAGAGCAGTGATGTTATTTTGGAAAGGTTTCAGAAGTGATATAATTGGATCTTCTTTCTAAGAAAATATGCTAAGTTCACAATGTATGTCAAAGGTAACAAAGTCACTGTTGATTACAATATAGTCACCATCCGTAAAATATAACAATGTTTCAAATGCATTGTAAATGTTTTTACTGTTTGTTTGTAATTCAGGTAACAAAGACCTTTGAATGCTTCTCTTTTTTTTTAAGATGTTGGTCTGCAGTTTTTGTCAGGCACATTCTTTTAATTAAATATGTATTTATAGTTGTCATTTCCTATTGCACATCCTGAAAGGTATACTAGATGACATGAAGCTTCTGATACACTGTGCAGCCATTTTTGTACTGGCCAGTAAATCTAATAAACAATTCAGAACTGGCACCCGCAGCAGGCATGACACGAATAAAAAATGAAAAAGACAATGCATTGTGTGATAATAGTAACTGAGAAATATAAATAAATAAACTGATTTTTTGTACATTCATACTGCACAGCATTTTGCATAGCTATACTTTTATCATCAGGTGAGCGTTTATTTGTTTATTGGCCAATGGTAGATATGAAATGAGAAAGAGCACTCTGCAAAAGTAACAAATTAAAAGAATCGTTTACTGATTTGTCTACAGTAAGCTCGAATCTGATTGGTCTCTATGGATTACTGCACTCTGCACATCACGTAGCTCTTTGCAGTTTCCTATTGTAAACCTGTGACTACAACGCATGGCCAAGATTCAAGGTAATCCTTTTTTTGAGCAATGGCTGAGGAGCATCCCTCTAAATTATTTTCGTTCTGTATCTTCCCTTTGCTTCATCTTGAGCTCATTTCTGATTCTTAATAACATTCTCTGAATACTGGCCTCTGTCAGTGAGGTGTTGGAAATACATTCAACAGTTGCTGACACAGAAATACTGTTCGTCTCCTTAACAAGAGACGGTGTGCTTCCTACTGGTTATCAAAGCAGAGCTTGTTTGTATGGAAGAGACAAGCACCTTTAGCTGATGATCAGCAGACTTAGACAGCTACAGCTTGACACTGAATGAAGATCTCCACTCAGCCAGACAAAATAAAAGCATCCTTCTCATTAACTCAGCAACGTGCCAGTAAACACAATACTGGATAGCAACTGGTGTTTCTTTTCATAAATACAGTCCTTATGCAGGATTTACCCAGCTGCTCATATTGCTCTCTAGGACTAAAGCTGCCAATCCATCAAAATGAACTCATGACATCATCATGCACGATCTATACACGTCTTCTAGCAAGACAAGTAAAGAAAAAGCACAAAGTAACAAAAACAATTTTTAAAAAAATTATATTTGAACTGATGTGTTATACTCATTTATTAGTTATAAAGTATGTATAAATGAGCAGGTTGGTAAAGTTACATGGTACAGTGTATAGAGCAGTCTTTCCTAACCTTTTTTATCCTACAGGAACCCTTGAAAAAAATTTCAATTCTTGGAGAACCACTGCTAAAACCAATTCATAGGGTGGCAATGGTGCTGCATTGGTGGTCAGTTGAAAGAATGCCCCCCTTACAGTGGTGGCAGTGGAAAGAGTGCCCCCCTTACAGTGGTAGTCAGTGGAAAGAATTCCCCCTTACAGTGGTGGCCAGAGTTAAGTATGTGTTTTACAGTGGTGGTCAGTGGCAAGAATGCCCCCCTAACAGTGGTGGTCAGAGGTAAGAATGTCCCCCTTACAGTGGTGGTCAGAGGTAATAATGTACCTCTTACAGTGGTGATCAGTAGTAACAATGCCACCTTTACAGTGGCGCTTAGTGGTAAGAATGCCACCCTTAAAGCAGTGGTCAGTGGATCGAGTGTCACTCTTCCAGTGTTAATCAGAGGTAAGAATGCCCTTTACAGTGGTGATAAGTGGAAAGAATGCCCCCATTACAGTGGTGATCAGTGGTAAGAGCTCCACTTTTACCGTGGTGACCAGTGGTAAGAATGCAACACTTACAGCAGTGGTCATTGGAAAGAATGTCCCCCTTACAGTGGCGATTAGTGGTAAGAATGCCCCCTTACAGTCATGGTCAGCGATAAGAATGCCATCCTGACAGCGGTGGTCAGTGGTAAAAATGCTACCCTTATAGTGGTGATCAGTAGTAAGAACTCCACATTTACAGTGGTAATCAGTGGTAAGAATGCCACCCTTATAGTGGTGATTAGTGGAAAGAATGCCCCCCCTTACAGCGGAGTTCAGAATGCCACCCTTATATTCTGCTAAAGAGAAGTGGCGGCACTGTGCAGGGAGGCCAATCATCCTCAACTCAAGGTACCCCTAGCAACCTCTGGAGGATCCCTAGTTGAGCATGACACATATAGATGCTAACCAGGGTTCTTATTCATCCCCTGTGCATGGCATTACCTCTTTCCCTGTGGTTATGTCTAAGCACTGTTACAAGACCCATAACTCACATGCAGACCTGTTACATAAAAAAGAAGCCAAGCCAAGTAACTTACTGCAATCATCTGATTCATACCCATCCAGGTCCACCTCATCCTCAAGCTTGGAAGGTAGGCTGGTGAAAGTAGTGGTAGTAGAAGCAGCTCCATATGCCCCAAACAATTTGTCCACATCCTCTTCTTCCTCCCTGGAACTTTCTGAAGGACTGACAGATGGCTGGCTCACGTTAGACTTCAGGGAGTTACTTCGGGTGACAACGGCCGGGATGCCACGGGGGAAACGAGGGAAGTAGTCGGAGATCTGCTTGATGGGCTTGATGGGACCTGGGCACACGTCAATAGCCATATGCTCCTGGATGCTTATGGTCATTTTCTCTCCTTTTCGGTATGTCATGCATGCGATTCTGCCCCTAAACCCTAAGCAGAGAACGGATGGCAGGGAGAGGGATCTCTTGAAGTTCAACTACATAAAGAAGACGAGGTCTCCGTTAGGGAAGAAGGTCGGGGATGCTGCCGCAGGCTATGCTCTTCTCCCTCTTGGACTTTCAGATACCTTGCGCATACTGCCTGGAGCTCCCTGCAGCCTCAAACGATCCTTATCCTCTCAGTGTTAATGTAAGCTCCAGCAAAGGAGAGAGAGAGAGGGAGAGAGAGAGCTGTCAGGCAGGAGAGGGGTGTGTACGACGTGATGTCACTTGTTAGCAACCAAGCACAATACAGGAAGCAAAGGAATGAAGGATGGGGCAGGTGCAGCTCTCATACCTCCAACCTGCCAGCATCATCAGCATTCGGGATATTCACTCATCAAATCACTGCATGCAGCTTCAGCTTCTTTTCTTTCCTTTAGTCCTCCTAAACCTTTTTTTTTTTTTTGCAATTGCCAACCCTCATGAAAAAAAAAAAAATGCATCCCTGATTTAAAATTAACTAAAGAGTTAATGAGACAATGGGGGGGATTTATCAAAACTGCAGCAGATTTGCACTACAGCCAATCAGCTTCCCTCTTGCATTTTCAAAACTTACCTAAGCAAACTAAAGAGAGATTTCTGATGGGTTGCCATGCCCATCTGCTCCAGATTCTGACTGCTCCAGTTTTGATCAATTCTCCCCCAATGTGTGTAGCTGTCACTTGCAATATGGCATGTGGTACAGTAGCAGACACACACAGCAAAAAGAAATAAAATAATACGAATGACACAGTTTGTGTGAGAGTGACATGCTTAAAAATAAAGAGAAGAGATGCTAATGTTATCTATTCCTGAACACAGGAGACAGGCTGCTGCTCCACTTACACGGGTGTTGTAGAAATGGTGTTAATTGCTGGGTGCTTGAAGTCAGTGTTAATATGTTCTCCTAGTGTGAAGGGTAATCTATATTTCAACAGTTGTTATACTACATTTCCCTTGACGCTTAACTTGCCTGACATCATTATCGTCAAGCGGCTGGAATCGCGTAAACATGTTGCACGTACGCCGAGGTCTTGTTGTGGTTCTGTATAGCGTTGCGGGGGCTTAACACAAATAATCAATCAGCTATACAAAGGAGAACTCCGGGGAAAGTTAATAACCCTTGACTTGGGGCTACCACTGCACTGCAAGGGTTAAGTGGTCATTGTGGTCTAGGGAGGGACATAACAAAGTTATACTCACCTGATCCTCAGAGCTGGCTTGGTCTTATACCGGTCCATGGAGCCTCTCTCCCCCCCTGCTGCAGCGGTCTAAGGCTGCCCATACTCCTTGCGATCATCGGATGATACTTTTCATCCGATGATCGAACCATTGTATGATTTTCCCCCATCCTGCCCCGATTATCGCAAGGTTGGATCAGCGGTAATTAAAAGAAAGCACCTGGATACATTGGGGTAATCGATCACACGTATTTTCGTCTGCGCATGAGCAGTGTAAATCGTACAGATTTTGATGTACGGAAACGCCACCAACATTGCAAAAATCGTACGATAGACCAAAGTTTTCTAACCTGCTGGTTAGTCTAAAGTCAATTGATTATACAGTATTTGCGGTTGTACACTGCCCATGCACCTTACCAGACGAAAACGCGATCGCATACGAAAATCGGCCGATAGTCGTAAGGTGTATGGGCAGCTTAAAGCTCACCACACACGTTGCAATCTGACTGTACAATCTCCTTTAGATCTACCAACAAGTGTGTAGTACAAGAGCCTGCCTGATTGTACACCGATTGATTGGATAGATTGAGTAGGTCCTCATATTACATAGAGTTGGTAGAGCTAAAGTTGATTGTACAGAGATTTGTATGTGTGTGTTGATCCTAAGTTCCTGTAAATCATCATGTTCTATATACAGTGTATAAGACGTAAGGACACTGGGGGACATTCCATGGCTGTAGTGTAGGTCACAGCTGGCCAGCTCAGAGGATCAGGTGAGTAAAACTTTTTCTTTTCCTACCTAGACCAAAATGAGCAGTGCGGTGGTAGCCCCATGTCAAGGGTTAATAATAACTTTCCCTGGAGTTCTGCTTTAAATAGCTTATTGTTTATTTTTTATATGCCCCATAACGTTATTCAGAACCACAACAAGACATCCACGTATGTGCCTGTCCCCTTCTATGCTGCAGCAATGGTATATCCCTTGGCATCCTCACATTGTTTGCCAAGAGGAGAATTTATCAAAACTGGAGCAGACAAAATCTGCAGCAGCTGTGCATGGCAACCAATCAGTTTCTTTCTTTCATTTTCAAATCCTAACGGAACAAACTGAAGAGAGAGACTGATTGGTTGCCATGCACATCTGTTCCAGATTTTGTCTGCTCCAATTTAATAAATTCCCCTCACTGTATATAGAATGTGATGATTTACAGGACCTTAGACCGTTGCAGCAGAGGAGGAAAGAGGCTCCAGGGACCAGTCTAAGAACAAACTGGCTCTGAGGATCAGGTGAGTATAACTTTGTTATGTTTGTCCTTAGACACAAACAAGCAGTTAACTCTTGCAGTGCATGGATATCCCCACTGCAAGGTTTAATAATCATTTTCCCCGGCATTTTTTCTTTAAAGCTGAACTCCACGATAAGCAAATATTGTCTAAATACAAGAGGCATGTGTATTCTTACTTGGTGTGATTTGTGTATTCCTTCCAGATCTGTGCAGTAAGGCAGCGTGACATTGTGCCTCTGTGCAGGAGATTCCTGTAATAAAGACCAGTCACTCCTGTTCTCTCTCCTTGAGCAGGGTGGCTGGTCTTGTCTCTGCCCCCTCCTATAGTTTTCTGCAGGGCCGTAGATAAAAATTTTTCCTGGGGGGGTTCAGCTTCCTCAAATTATAAGATTTTATGTAGCAGACACACCAAGGTTTGAAGAAAATATCCCGGCCATATCATTCCTAAACCAATCCTTTACCCTGAGCAATACCGATTTTGTTGTTCGACACCATATGGATAAAAACCATGTTTTCAAAAGACTTATAATTGTTACCAATTCACACAAACCCCTTAGTATACACTTATTGGGATTTTTTTTTTACCAAAAATATTTAGCAGAATACATTTTGACCTAATTTTAGGAAGAAATTTTATTTTATTTGATATTTTGTATACCGTATATACTCGAGTATAAGCCGAGATTTTCAGCCCATTTTTTTGGGTGAAAAGTGCCCCCCTCGGCTTATACTCGAGTCAGCTTGCTCTGGTGTCACTTTTTTAAAAAGTCAGCGGGCTCTGACTCGAGTCAGCGGGCTCTACGTACGCTGGTCACGTTCTAAGTAGGGGTGCCGAATCCACTGTTGATCGTTAATTTAATCTGTACTCACCTCTCCGCCGGCTTCCGGGTCTTCCGTCGGAGATCCGGTGACGTCACGGACATCGACGTCACCGGACTCCTCCCCCCCCTCCCCGAGTGGCTCTGTCGGCTATCGAAGGGAAGGGGGGAGGAGTCGGGTGATGTAGTTGTCCGTGATGGGTAACGAAGGGAAGGAGAAAGGAGTCTGTTGACGTTGATGTCACCGGACTCCTCCCCCTTCCCTTCGTTACCTGACAGGATCCCTTGAGCCGGTGAGTCTCCTGATTCACAATATGTACATACATACAACAAGGCAGCTAAAATAAAAATTGTGTACTGTAAAATCTACTACCCTGTTAGAAATCTGCTGCCCTGGTGAGTCCCCAGAAAGCCTTGGTGAGACCCCACAAAGCCATGGTGAGACCCCATGGAGCCCTGGTGAGACCAGGGCTCTGTGGGGTCTTGCCAGGGCTCTGTGGGGTCTAACAAGGCTGGTTAGACCCCACAGAGCCCTGCTACCCTGGTGAGGCCCCATCAAAGCTCTGGTGAGACCCCACAGAGCCCTGGTTTAACCAGGGCTCTGTGGGGTCTCACCAGGGCCCCGAGGGGTCTCACCAGGCTGGTGAAATCGCACATAGCCCTGGTGGGACCCCATAGAGCCCTGGTTTAACCAGGGCTCTGTGGGGTCTCACCAGGGCCCCGAGGGGTCTCACCAGGCTGGTGAAATCGCACATAGCCCTGGTGGGACCCCATAGAGCCCTGGTTTAACCAGGGCTCTGTGGGGTCTCACCAGGGCCCCGAGGGGTCTCACCAGGCTGGTGAAATCGCACATAGCCCTGGTGGGACCCCATAGAGCCCTGGTTTAACCAGGGCTCTGTGGGGTCTCACCAGGGCCCCGAGGGGTCTCACCAGGCTGGTGAAATCGCACATAGCCCTGGTGGGACCCCATAGAGCCCTGGTTTAACCAGGGCTCTGTGGGGTCTCACCAGGGCCCCGAGGGGTCTCACCAGGCTGGTGAAATCGCACATAGCCCTGGTGGGACCCCATAGAGCCCTGGTTTAACCAGGGCTCTGTGGGGTCTCACCAGGGCCCCGAGGGGTCTCACCAGGCTGGTGAAATCGCACATAGCCCTGGTGGGACCCCATAGAGCCCTGGTTTAACCAGGGCTCTGTGGGGTCTCACCAGGGCCCCGAGGGGTCTCACCAGGCTGGTGAAATCGCACATAGCCCTGGTGGGACCCCATAGAGCCCTGGTTTAACCAGGGCTCTGTGGGGTCTCACCAGGGCCCCGAGGGGTCTCACCAGGCTGGTGAAATCGCACATAGCCCTGGTGGGACCCCATAGAGCCCTGGTTTAACCAGGGCTCTGTGGGGTCTCACCAGGGCCCCGAGGGGTCTCACCAGGCTGGTGAAATCGCACATAGCCCTGGTGGGACCCCATAGAGCCCTGGTTTAACCAGGGCTCTGTGGGGTCTCACCAGGGCCCCGAGGGGTCTCACCAGGCTGGTGAAATCGCACATAGCCCTGGTGGGACCCCATAGAGCCCTGGTTTAACCAGGGCTCTGTGGGGTCTCACCAGGGCCCCGAGGGGTCTCACCAGGCTGGTGAAATCGCACATAGCCCTGGTGGGACCCCATAGAGCCCTGGTTTAAC